TTAAGAGAAAAAGAAGAAGAAGTACAAGTTACTTACTTATTACTTTGGATTGGTGATAGAGGCCGCCAGATATGTAATACTCTTACATTAACTGAGCTCCAAAGAAAATCAATAAAGGCAATTTCGGATGCAATTCAAAAACATCTACAACCAAATCAAATCCTGTATTTAGCAGATACAAATTCCACAATGAAAAACAGGGACACAGTACGATAGAACAATTCATCACATGTCTAAAAACATTAGCAAATGATTGCGCTTTTGATGCAGGGTTAAGAGATGATGTAATACGAGATCAAATAGTAATTGGAATTACGTCGGCAAAAGTTCGTGAAAAACTTATCACAGAAGGGGAAGCTTTGACTCTTGAAAAAGCAGTCAGGATATCACAGTCACATGAATATGCACAGGCACAATTACGTGATATGACTAATTCCAATAGCATTGATGACATTCATCATAAACGACATTCCACGTCAAAACGCCAAAACGAGACAGGGAAGAAACACAATCACCATTCAAAAGTTAGACAAAACCAACAGATAACAAAATGTGGAAATTGTGGACTGTCACATTATAGCAAAGATCGATGTCCGGCTAGAGGAAAACAGTGCAAGAACTGCCATAAATGGAATCACTATGCAGTTGTGTGTAGGTCAAACAAAAAGGTGCATGGAATCGAAACCGGAAACAGTAACAGTGACAGTAACAGTTACAGTGAATTTTGTATTGGTGCAGTTGATTCACATTCAAAGGGACAGGTATTTGTTGATTTACAGGTGGGCTCTAAAGGACATTTTAAACAGTTTAAACTTGACACAGGGGCATGCTGTAACATCCTTTCTGAGGCAGATTTCAAATCCCTCAAGGTCAATACCCCCTTAAAGAAGCCAACTGTCAAACTCACTGCTTACTCAGGCACTGAAATTAAGGTTCTAGGAGTAATATATCTCTCATGCAGCTACAAGAAAAAATGCACAAAACTTGTAGAATTTTATGTTGTGAGAACAAACAAACCCTCCATCCTAGGTTTACAATCATGCCTTGACTTAATTCAGATTGTAATGTCCGTAGACCAGAATGAGCAAATGAGTAAAAATTCTGTCTTGCGTGACTTTCCTGAAGTTTTTCATGGCTTTGGAAAATTACCTGGTGCTTGTTCGATCAAAGTAGATCCCAAGTATTCTCCAGTAATTCATCCTCCCCGACGCGTTCCTGTAGCTCTACAGAGCAAGGTTAAAATGGAACTTGATGCTATGGAAAAGGCTGGAATCATAGCTAAGGTCACCATACCAACAAATTGGGTGAATAGTATGGTTGTAGTCAATAAGCCACATTCTGATAAAGTTAGAATTGTAATTTACCCTAAAGACCTTAATAAGGCAATCCATAGGCCACATTATCCTACAAAAACCTTAGACGATATTTTGCCGCAGTTAAAGTCTGCAAAATATTTCACAAAACTTGACTGCAAATCAGGTTACTGGTCTGTTGTTTTAGATGATGAATCATCATATCTAACCACATTCAACACCCCTCAAGGTCGTTATAGGTATCTAAGATATCCCATGGGACTGAAATGCAGCCAAGTTCTTTTCCAGCAAAAGATGGATGAGTGCTTAGAAGGCTTACTTGGTTGTAGTGTCATTGTAGATGACATTCTTGTTTACGGTTCAACTCGAGAAGAGCATGGCATAAACTTAAGAAACTTACTTGATAGGTGCCGCCAAAAGGGCATTAGGTTAAACGAAGACAAACTTGTTGTTTGTGTCTCGGAGGTTAAGTATTTTGGTCACATCCTCTCAGCTGATGGATTGAAACCAGACCCCGAAAAATGTAGGGCTATCCAAGAGATGGAAGCGCCTAAAGACAAGTCTGAGCTTAAGACAATACTTGGCATGATAACTTATCTATCTAGATATGCCCCAAACTTGTCCGAGATCATTCATCCACTCTCAGAAATAATAAAGAAAGATGTAATTTTTCACTGGGATGCTCCTCAAGTTCGAGCATTTCAGGAAGTCAAAGACATACTTACTGAGTGTCCAAGCCCAGTGTTATCTTATTTTGATCCAAATAAGGCACTTGTACTTCAGTCTGACAGTTCTCAGTATGGCTGTGCTTCTACTTTAATGCAAGATGGAAAACCTATAGCTTTTGCAAGCAAATCCTTGGCCAACTCAGAAAGGTCATGCGCCATGATTGGGAAAGAACTTCTTGCCATAGTATTTGGCATGACAAAGTTCAGACAATATATTTACGGTAGGCACATAACTGTAGAAACAGATCACTTACCTTTGATCAGTATTGTTAAGAAATCCCTATACAGTGCCCCGGCAAGATTACAAAGACTCTTATTAGCGTTACATGGTTATAATTTTGAGTTGCAGCACAAAGCAGGCACTCAAATACCCGTTGCTGACACATTGTCTCGGAAATATTTGCCAGAAACTTATCCAGAAATTTCCGAAAATACCAATATGCATGTTCACTTCATAACAAAAAACTTGCCATACACAGATCAAAAACTTAGTGAAGTAAGGTCAAAAACTGAGTCAGATCCAACACTCATGACCTTGAAACAAATCATTCTTCAAGGCTGGCCTGAAAAACGCAAAGATTGCAATTCTCAAATTCTAGAATACTGGAATTATAGAGATGAACTCACTGTTGTAGATAATATCATCTACAAAGGTCAAAGATTGATTATTCCTAAGTGTCTAAGATCTGAAATGTTAAATTTGCTACTAAAAGGTCACCCAGGTCAGGAACGTAGCTTCCACAGGGCACACATTTCTATGTTTTGGCCTAACATTAGCAAAAGACATAGTACAAGAAAGTGCAACAGTGTTCTGTATGTGCAGAGCATCAAAGGTCAAATTCAAAGAAACCCTTGGTTTCACATGAAATCCCTAAGTACCCATGGCAGGTAATAGGTACTGATGTATTACATTAGATAACCAAGACTACTTGTTAGTATGCGACTACATGAGCAACTATTTTTGAAGTTGACATGATTAAAAATACAAACAGTAGCACTATTATTAAGTTAATGAGAACTTGGTTTTTCAAGACATGGTATTCCCAGAAAAAATAGTTTCAGATGGTGCTAGTTATTACACATCACAAGAATTTAAAGAATTCACAACTAAATGGGACATAAAGCATGTAAGGTCATCACCTCAATATCCCCAAAGTAATGGCCTTAGTGAATCATGCGTGAAGAAAGTAAAAAACATTGCTTAAAAAATGCAAGCAAGATGGAAAGACCCTTTGATAGCAATTTTAGAATCACGTGCTACCCCGCTAAGCATAGGGTTATTCTCCCACTGAAATCTTTAATGGGAAGAAAAATAAGGACATTTATACCCTATGTCTGAAAAGAATTTAACACCCAAACAACAGATTTTAAGAGAATAAGGTTCACTTCTTGAAAAAACAAAAATGCATTCAAAAGAAAAATTATGATAAACATTCAAGGTCCCTTAAAACCATTTTAACGTAGGAGAAAATGTTAGAATTCAGCAGGGAAAATCTTGGAATCCCGCTGTCATTCAAGAGAAATTAGACATTCGCTCCTATTCTGTAGAAACACCCCCGATGGTGGTCAATATATCAGAAACAGGCAACATCTAATGAAGGATTATACCTGCCAAGATAATGACCCTCCATTAAACACTGATAACGATCAATTTACACAGGCCATTTGTAGTAATCAAGACACAGCAGATTCCCATGATAAACTTTCACACCAGTTAACCTCACAGCATGCCAGTGTCAAGAGTGATAATTTGACCTTTAATCACTCAAAGTCGCCTGCATCAACAAATACTTCTCAAACTGCCAACATTTATCCAGAAGCTTATGTAACTCGTTCTGGGAGGCAGGTGTAAACCAAAGATAATTCAGTCTGTGTAAAATAAGTGTACACATTGAACAAATAGGCATAAATTGCAGTAGTGTTTTTTGTGCTATAAACAGAAAAATTACAAACATTATATTGACAGTATGAAAGCATTATGTAAGGCAAAATTTATCATAATAATTAAATGTGTTTATCTGAAATTCATTACTTGATGTCAGTCTTGACATGGACATTATTTTATTGCTTAATGCTTTCTCAGAATGAATTGACATTTATAGCGGACAAATGTTTATGAGCTTTTCAGATTTCAAACAAAGGGAGATGTTATGATATCAAGATTAGATAACTCTTTAATTGTTTAGTTGTACAGTGTTAATAGGATTACTTCCCTTTACTTGATATTCGTTAATGCTATGTTATATATATGATCATGCCTCTCTGATACCTGAGTCATTCTCACTTGAGCTCTGGTCTTAACAACATGTATTAAATGGTTATAATAAATAGTAGAATAGTTTGAATCTTGTTATCATCCATACAACATAACAAAAAGCAAACAGTACATTATTTATAATTTATTATTATGGTTGTAGAACCCGAAAATACAAAAAACCAACCTGTTGACATTTAGTCGGATTTGTTTAAAATTGAACATCAGGGGGCATACTTGAATTACAAATTGTTGTCAGACATATTTTCTAGCATAAGAGTACTGGGACACACATTAGTTGTCATATATATACATTCGTTTTACATTATCTCTGTTTCTGTTTACGTCTGAAACCACGTGGTAGAACTACTTTCAATCCGTTTTGTTTCCGAAGTTTTTATAGATAATAGCCGAGGCAGTTCCGAATGGTAAATGTGTTACGATTCATTTGAAATACCGCAATCCTATTGGACAAACAATAATTTCAAACACTAATTATATGTCTACAGTATGTCTATAATGATATTTAAAGAAAAACAAAGAAACATCAATATTTAAATATTTTATTACAATAAATCACGGTCCGCCTCGTCTCGAGTCACGGTCCGCTCTGTCCCAAAGTATGGTCCGCCTTGTCCAAACATACGGTCCGCCCTGTCTTACGGTCCGCCCTGTCCGTTATTCATTTTTACGAGGACCATTGATTACGTCATCTGACATTGATTGTCGATAAATTATTGGTGAAATCATTCGATGTTTTTCGGTGTTTTAAAGAATATTTTACGCTGACAATTTCTGCTTTTACAAAACTTATATATAACTGGATTATTCGGGTTAGGTGAGTATTTATTTTTTCTAGTATTTTTACTAAAATATGTATTTTATCGGAAAATAATAATACCCGGAAGTAGAAACAATTGCAGTTCCTGGACAACGGTCTGTTGATAATTTTTTTTTCTCAGTAGATTCTATGTAATAGAAAGAGCACCGAAACACGAGGCTATCTGATTTGTACGAGGGGGCGTAGCACCCGAGTATAAATCAGATTGCCGAGTGTTTTGGTGCTCTTTCTCTTTTGTATCATAGTCAAACATAACAACACGTCCCTGTTATCAGAATATGAAACCCTAGAAAAAGTAACCAATGAACGAGCATTTGAATATGATATTTCTGCCGCTTTCACTTTCTCTGCCGTCACAATAAGTAAACCCCAGCAAAAATGAGCCAATCAACGGGCAATATCTGGAGTGCGGATAACTGATACCTGCACTCCAGTTACCGCACTGTGCATGTATAAGTATACGATTTAACTCTGACACTTTTTCAACAGAAAGGTCCCCAAACTATGCTACAATTCATATTAATTGTAACCCTACATGAGAGTTTTTACCGTAATCGAAAATACCAGAGTTTAGCTGTAAATACCGGAGTGACAATACGGCCATCAAGGCTTTGAACGAAACGAAACGAACATGGAAAATGCACAGACACTTGGGTTATGTGCGTGGCTCCCCTTTCTTGATCCGCACTTGTATACACCGTGTCTATTTTTATCGTGCAAACCGTACGTCAAAATATGTTTGCATATTATTACGACCTGGTCATAAAACTTGTTTTCCGCTATTTCAACAACGTTTAAAAAAGTCCCTAAAATATCATAATTATTTTCATAAAGATAACAACGTACACTTTCCTTTGATGTGAGACGACTGGAATGAGTTTCGGCACTGTTTTGCGCTAAATGCCGAGAACCAAAATTCCCGCAGCGGTTACTTCCCCTAATCAGTACAAAAACTAAACAAGTTAAATGTTGACGGTGCATATCAAAGACGCCGCCAAATGATGTGAACAGTCACAGGTAATGTACAAAATCTGAATTGAAAATCGTTCTCTATTACAGTTGAATATCCGAAGCACTAATCAATTTTTTCCCCATGTTCTTATTATGTGTCTGAAAGTCTGAAATGTTTGTCTGTTGCGACAATGATTGAAACGTCTGGGCGAAGCAAAATAAATTAGATTAACAATAAAAATTGAAATGATGGTAAACTTAAAATGAATTCAAGACAATGTGTGCCGAGAATATGTCCATTTAAATTGGTGCGAATTGCATAATGTTCGTTCGAATGAATTTTAGGACGGACTGTATCTTATTCTACAAATAGCAAACATATGTCTGTAATATCAAATAATAGTTGTGAATAAATTGATATATATATATATATATAATTGATATATATATATATATATATATATATATATATATATATATATATAAAGGGAGATAATTAAATTCAAATACAGTTATACTTTCCCCTGCGTGGGATCACTTAAGATACAAGTGTGCAGATAAATTGATAGAAATGAGAGAATATATACACACATACCACCACATCGATATGCCAGTCCAATTACGGCACAGTGCCTAGCAGAACAGTCATGAAAGCAAATCCACCATCACAAAAATGATGGTTTCAGAACAACTTTATATACAGTCACAAACTGCACTACACATTGAAACAAGCTCAACATTCTCATATATAGAGTTTGTTCTCTGTTAACATATCTCACAAATCAACGATGACATTTTATTGTCTTCTTCACTGATTGGGACCAGAGAACTATATATCTATTTCCGAAAGTCAACTGGATCACGTAAGATCAAGTAGATCCGTAGGATACAATGAATTTAGACAGATAAAGTATATATAAAGGGAGATAATTAAATTCAATACAGTTATACTTTCTCCAATTACGGCACAGCGCCTAGCAGAACAGTAATTGGACTGGCATATCGATGTGGTGGTATGTGTGTATATATTCTCTCATTTCTATCAATTTATCTGCACACTTGTATCTTAAGTGATCCCACGCAGGGGAAAGTATAACTGTATTGAATTTAATTATCTCCCTTTATATATACTTTATCTGTCTAAATTCATTGTATCCTACGGATCTACTTGATCTTACGTGATCCAGTTGACTTTCGGAAATAGATATATAGTTCTCTGGTCCCAATCAGTAATAATAATAATAATAATAATAATAATAATAATAATATCTTTATTTAAAGAAGGTTACACATTAAGAACATACAATAACAATCATATATATCTTATTTCCAATGTGGCCTTCTGAAATAGAAAACAACAACAACAACAACAACAGGATATGCATAGGTAGAAAAATGAATGTATAATATGTAATTTTTAAAATATTACAACTCATATATTTTTTCGACAGACACTCAACAATTTGTTTAAACATATACATATATTGCATCATTCGTTTATATTTATTCGTTCATATATTTATTCGTTCATTCACTCATTCATTCACTCATATGAATATCAAGATATGCTTTGTATTTTTCTTTAAAACATTTAAGGTTATTAGCATTACGAATATTTAAAGGTATATTGTTCCAAATGTTCATGCCATAATAAGAAAATGTGTCTTTAATATAATTTGTTTTAGGTCTTGTCCATAATACAATATCTTTTCGTGACCTAGATCTTAAGTTATATATTTTGTTGTCGGATAAAGTCATCAGTTCTGTCATATAAGTCGGTGCCATGTTATTTAAAGTTTTAAAAACAAGCACCGCCGTGTGGTATTTACATCTGTCAAGGAACGGTAACCAATTAAGAGTTTCGAATAGATTTATTGACGGAGATCTTTGAGGTTCCTGTAAAATGATTTTAGCAATTCGTTTTTGTAACTTACAAACATTATTTATGTACTTTGTGTTTCCTTTACCCCATATAATACAACAATAGTCCATAATGGGCAATATATATGCATTGTAAAACAATAATTTCATATCAAAGTGCAAAAAATACGATATTTTTTTCAATAAGGCAATTTTTCCGTTAAGTTTTCTACAAACATTGTCAATTTGCAAGTGCCATTTTAAGTTGTTATCTATGCAAATACCCAAGACTCTTTGATCAGTTACATTTTCAAGGGCTATTTCATTTATCTTAAGAATTAATTTTCTCATAATATTTACTTTTTGTCTTGTTCCTATTACCATACATTTTGATTTATCTGGATTTAAGGCCATATTATTTATTTTGCACCATTTGTCAATGCTATTTAAATGATCTTGAAGTTTTATTTCTACTTTTGATATATTTTCTCCGGACTCATAAAGAGTAGAATCATCTGCGTATAAATCAATTTTTATATCATTACCTATGAAAGCTATGTCATTTATGTATATTAGAAATAATAAAGGTCCTAATATTGAGCCTTGTGGAACACCGGAAATTATTTTCATTGACTGAGATTGAAGATTACCTATTTTAACCAGTTGTATTCTGTTAGAAAGATATGACTTAAAGAACTTAACGGCATTTTCAGAAAAATGATAAAGTTTAAGTTTATGCAAAAGTATTTCATGGTCAACCAAATCAAAGGCTTTCTTTAAGTCTAAGAATACAGTCCCGATAATTTTTCCACTGTCAACATCTTTTAACCAAGTATCTATTAAACTAATTAGTGCAGTATTACATGAATGATTTTTACGAAATCCTGATTGTTTATTATGAATTATGTTCGTTTTTTCAAAGAATGAGTGTATTTGTTTGGCAATATGGCGCTCAAATATTTTGGATATAGTTGACAAAATTGATATCGGTCGATAGTTATTTGCTTCATTCTTATCCCCCGATTTGAAAATAGGTATAACTCGAGCTCTTTTTAAATCATCTGGGAAAATATTAGATTTAATACTATTATTGATGCAATTATTGGTGTAATATAATCTCCACAATATTTGATGATGTTTGGTCCAATTCCATCTAATCCTGTAGATTTTTTAATATTCAGTTTTTCAATAATAAGTTTTACTTCAAACGGTGTAATTAATTCAATATTAAATTCATGATATATTAGCTTTTGGTTTAAAGTTTCTTTTAATTTTGAAAAATTTGTATTTGAAAACTTTGTTTTATGTATGACATTCGAGATATTGACAAAATACTTGTTTAATTCATTTATAATATTTACAGTTCCGTAAATTTCTTTATTACCTGTCACAAGTCTGTCTGGCATTGTAATACAACCTTTTTTATTTAGATTTGAAACGTCCTTTAAATTTTTCCATAAAAATGCCGGGTCTTTGTTATTTTTAATAGCATTGTTAAAGAAATCAGTGAAGAAGACAATAAAATGTCATCGTTGATTTGTGAGATATGTTAACAGAGAACAAACTCTATATATGAGAATGCTGAGCTTGTTTCAATGTGTAGTGCAGTTTGTGACTGTATATAAAGCTGTTCTGAAACCACCATTTTTGTGATGGTGGATGAGCAGTGGCTATGCTTTCATGACTGTTCTGCTAGGCGCTGTGCCGTAATTGGACTGGCATATCGATGTGGTGGTATGTGTGTATATATTCTCTCATTTCTATATATATATATATATATATATATATATATATATATATATATATATATATATATATATATATATATATATATAAATTCTTAGTAACGTTTTGTTTTTGTTTTTTATATATAAAAGATTAAACTACTTGATTAAACTAAAGATTGCATATTCGTCTAGAATCTAGGTATAGGACCACTAAATGTAGTAAAAAATCAAATCGTCAGCATCCTTCAAAATAACCTATTGCAAATATTTGCGATACATTTTAAAATAAACGTCCTTTTTTCAATCAGTTAATCTGTTTTATAACTTAAATGTTAATTATTTTCATGAGTTACATGTCGAACACGTTTTGCCTGTTTTGCAAAAATATTTCCGCTGTGTCCGTATCGCCAATAAAATCTCCTTGCGTATTTAATGATTCTCTTGTTCCTTGCCCGAATT